TACTAATTTTTGGAAATGGTTGATGGAATTAGACATATTTATCTTTTTTTTTTTTCCCAAATATTAATTTATGAAAAGATTAAATGTAATATAACATAAAAAATCGTTCATCGGATAAATATATTTTATTATTTTCCCCAAAAAAAAATCTCCTATGATATCTAATTTATTTGGTGCATTCTTTTTCTCATCATATCTAAATTTATTTACATATTATACTCCTTTCTTTTTCATTTAATAACAAAATAATAAACTATCTAATCGCATAGGCTTACTAACCAACGGCGACTTCGAGACACCACCATCGGGAGGTTTCGCCGACGAAGGCCTCGGCGACAACCCCAACGCAATCCCAAACTGGAAAGTCAACGGCACGGTGGAACTAGTCGCCTCCGGTCAAAAACAAGGCGGAATGATTCTCATCGTCCCTGAAGGTCGACACGCAGTGAGACTCGGCAACGACGCTCAGATCTCCCAGGAATTAAAATTAGAAAAAGGCGAAGTTTACTCCATCACTTTCAGCGCCTCTCGCACGTGTGCACAGCTAGAATCGTTAAACGTGTCTGTTCCACCTGCGTCACAGACGATTGATTTACAAACGCTGTATAGTGTTCAAGGGTGGGATACTTACGCTTGGGCGTTTCAAGCTGATCAAGAAGATACTAATGTCGTTTTTACGAATCCTGGCATGGAAGATGACCCCACTTGTGGGCCCATCATTGATGATATTGCTATTAAGAAGCTTTTTGTTCCTACCAAACCTAAAGGTATGGTTTATGCTTTTAAATCATATTTTTATTGATACTTTTAGAAAATCTTTACAAAATCATTTATATAATTGCTAGATTTTTCAAAAGTATAAATACTCTATTAATAACAAAATTTGAGTAAATTGCACTTTTAGTACCCCGGGTATAGCAATTTTTGCTAACTTGGTCCCCAATTCCAAGTAAAATGATTATTTTTTGTTCTTACATACAACTGATTTTTGCAATTTTGGTCCTCAAAATAATCATTTTACTTGTAACTACAAAAACCTCAAGTAAGGACCAAAATTGCAAGAGAACACATGTTGAATTTAATCCGTAAGCCATATATGAGTGTTTCTTTTCGACTTAACGTAGAAAGAACATCTTAATAGAAAAATCAAGAAAATGAACCAAAGTTGCACTCAATAAAATTGGTCTTGATTTTCTCAAATATCTTTCAAACATTATTTATCCAGATAACGCAGTACTAAACGGAGATTTCGAAGAAGGTCCATGGATGTTTAGGAACGCATCTCTAGGCGTCCTACTCCCAACTAACCTGGATGAGGAAATCTCATCCCTACCCGGTTGGATTGTAGAATCCAACCGGGCAGTTCGTTACATCGATTCAAACCACTTCTCAGTCCCGGGCGGCAAACGTGCCCTGGAACTGCTTTCAGGCAAAGAAGGCATAATCTCCCAAATGGTTTCCACCACCCCAAACAAGCCTTACAAAATGTCATTTTCCCTTGGTCACGCGAATGACATGTGCAAGCAACCCCTTGCAGTCATGGCATTCGCGGGTGACCAAGCGGAGAATATTCACTATGCACCAAACGGGAATTCCACTTTTCAAATTGTGAATGTGAATTTTACGGCTAAGGCTGAGAGGACACGTGTTGCGTTTTATAGTGTTTATTATAATACGAGAAGTGATGATATGAGTTCTTTGTGTGGGCCCGTGGTTGATGATGTGGCGGTGGTGGTTTCGAAGGGGGTTAGAGGGTTAGGGTTTTCGGGTTTGGTGGTTTTGGTTTTGGTTTTGTTGTTTGTGGTTTAGTTTTTATGTTGTGATTTATTTGGTAAGCATTAAGCAAAGCTTTTGGTGGTTTCCACTTGTATGTAGTAATGAAATTGAATATTTATGATGGAATGGAATAGAATGAAGTATTTAGTATTATGATAAATTTGTTGTATTTTGATGAATCATACTTCTATTATAAATTTATAACATTATGAAATAAGAACAAATCGAATTCTAACATTCTTAAGAATTTGCTTGAGAGGTCATTCACGATAATGACTTCATGTAACTTCATTATCATTCACATACACAGACGAGTGCATTCTATCAGTTGATAATTTATTTTGGTAATTTCTATAGGTAGGAATAGGTTCAATCTGAAGAGAGTTATCCCACTCCTATGTGATAATTTACTTTGCAAAAACAATGACAATAAAATCGACTCCAACAAAAAACCAGTCATCAAATCTGTACATGTTTAATAGGGAAATTCAAGTCTACTATTCTGATGTTGATCACTCGTTCTTAGTGATCATGTACTCTTCCTTAGTGATCATGTGACCATAGCATGTGTTGTATTATCATGAAAATTCACATGCTTGTGGTCTCCACCTCTATGAACCATGAATGGACATCCATTATATTCATATCAAACATATCGACATGATTATGTGAAGTTCGTATAACATGGTCATATGTTTATGTGAAATTCCTAGCTTTTACGGATTAATATCCTTATTTCCTTAAATCTGGTTTTAAGATGACCAAAACTATTGTTCCACTTTCTATTTGTTAGAATGCATACTATTTGGAATAGTTATGTGGCTCAGTGTCTTATTAATTGAAAGGTATTTATAGATTACAATGAAGAATTCTATGCTAATACTAATACTATAATATGTCAACTATGTCAACGCAAATACGGAAATATCAAATATAAATAAGGAAAGTAGGATAATATTGAATACTAATATAATTGTATATTTCATGTAAAATGCTCGAAAACTATAGTCTACAATCAATTAACTTACCACATGGTCAAAATAATCAAATTGGAATATACATGGACCCATAACAGAAACTGTGTATGACATATTAGCAATGAAGCACATTAAGTTTTCTACATAATATTATTTGGGTTGTAAATATATATTGTAGTTGTTGGGCAGTGGATCTTATTTATTCATTTACTGCGTCAAATAATATATTATAACATCTTATATAAGATCATATGACAATAATTTATGACAGACATGGCATCTCAATATGTATCATACTATAAAAACATCAAAATCTTAAAGACATAAAATATTCAAATTATATGGTTTTGATGTTTCAAATAATTTTTTGGATTTTCAGTAATACATAACTCTAAACAAAAAAATTAGTCAAGTATTTTTTTGTTCTTTTTTAATCCAATCAATGTAGAGACATTACAATAGGATGCCAAATGAATTTTGGATAAATTTATGGGAACTTAATTACTGATTTTTATTTACAGCATGACAAGGTATTCAAAATTGTTTTACCTAAAATACGAGTCTAAAACATCTAAGGTTGCGTTTAGTTGCGGAAAAATAGGTTGTTTTCTGAAGAAAAAAAATTGATAAAATGAAAATTTTGAAAACGCGTTAAATTCGTCTATTTTTCTAAATTTTTCACGGAAACATTTTCCGTTTCCTAAAATTATAAAGAAGTTGAAAACTCTTGAAAACTGATAATCATTGTTTTTCATATTTTTTCTAATTCCATTTTTTTTAGTATAAACACACATCTACTCCCATCTTACCCACCTCTATCTAGGGATGAAAGTGGGTTCAAATCCGGACTTGAAAAACCCGGAACCGGTTAACGGGATTTTTTAGGACCGAAAACCGGACCGATATATAGGAACCGGTTCCGGTTCGGTTCCGGGTATGATATCGGATAAAGTGGGTCTTGAACCGGAAAACCCGGAAACATTAAAGTGGATAGGTTGGAACCGGATAAAGTGAGTTTAGAACCGGAAAATCCAAATTTTTGGTAATTACTTACTACTTTGTAGGTTGAACTTTAAAATTTTCCATATTAACATCCCAACTTCGGGAGACTGTAAGTCATTGAATATAAAACCAAAATTAATAAAATTATACATCATGTACAAATTCAAAACTACACTCTGGAAAAAACCACACGTCAATCCGAATTTAAACGAATGAGATATGCATGTGTTAACATTTTCAAAGAATTTAAAGTACAAAAATAAATAGTTGAAAATTTGAAAATTTTCAGCTTTGACATCCCGGTTTTGGAGGGCTGTAAGTCCTTGAATATTAAACCAAAAATAACAAAATTATAATCTAAAATTATGTACACACTGTAAACTACAAGTTGGAAAAAACCGCACATCAATCCGACTTCAAACGAATTAGATATGTATGTTTTAAAAACTTTCACAAAATACAAAAAAGCTGAAAAACTAAAAACTTCCAACTATGGTATCTCAACTTTTGGGAACTATAAATCAATGAATATAAAACTAAAAATGACAAACTTGTAGTCTAAAATCATTTACAAACTCTAAACTATACGTTGGGAAAAACTGTATGTCAATCCGACTTGAAACGAATAAGATATACATGTTTTAAACGTTTCACAAAAATCGGTTCCGACCCCTAAAAGTAGTTCCGGTTCCTAACACCGGTTTCGGTTTTTAGACCCGATTTGCCCGGACCCGATGGACCCAAACCCGGATTACCAGAAACCCGGATAAAACCATTTTTTAAACCCGGAACCGAAACCGGTTCTATATATTCCGGTTCTAATGGTTCCGGTTCCGGTCCGGTTTTCCAGTTTTAAATCTCATCCCTACCTCTATCTATCCCAACATTATTTAACACTTTCAACCCACCACACCCCTACCTACCTACACCCCACACCTACAAACACACCCATACACACACACACCTAACATCACTACCATAATCAGCGACCTACCATTATCATCAGCACTATCGTCGCCACCATTACCACCACTACCACAATTGTCAACGCCACCACCACCACAACCATCACCATCATCAACACCACCATTTTCCATTTTCCAAGATTTGTACATTTACTTTTATTTTGTACCACCATTTTCCATTTTCCAAGATTTGTACATTTACTTTTATTTTGTGTATTGTAAGACCTTTATTTTTTTCGATAGAAACATTGTTGTCATTCATAGAAAGTGTAGTTGATCGACATCAAACCTAATCGAACAATAAGACTTGAATTTGAGCTGTAGATTGAGAACATATACAGATTCCTTGAATATATTTCATCAACTCTATCCATCTTCCACGATGCAACAACAGTCGAATCAGTTCTTCAAAAAAAGTAACCAAACTTAAAAAAAAAAAGCACACAATAACTTAAGTGGCCATTTTACATAGCATCAAAAAAGTCAACCAAAACATCCACAATCCATCTCAAAATACATTTTCCCTTTTGCACATTATATGCATATCATGGCCTCATACACCAAATATATAATATCAATTCACTTCACTATTTGTAAAAATATCATTTTTCCATAGAGAATTAAACATTAAGTCCACCTCCACCTCCACGTCCACGTCCCATTGTAAACCCTTTTGTTCCATCTGGCATTCGTGGTCCAGGTGGCGGCTTTGACACTTCACCCCCATGAATATGATTATTATTATTATGCACCAATGTCCCATGACCTATATTTACACATAATTATTATTATTATTTATTATGATTATAATAAATAACCACATCAAAATGACCATCTTACCCATGCCAATGCCACTAGATCCTTGATACTTGTTTTTCCTTGGACGCCTTCGGTTTTGGTTTTGACAATTCCTGTTTCCGTTTTTCTCCTTTTTTTTTTGTAAAAAACTCCATTAGGTAAAAATATATATATAATTTTTATGATGATATTGAATTATTATTTATTAATTTATTAATACCTCTTCATTTGGTATATCATCATGATGCTCACTTGATTGTTGGTTTTCTTTTTCCATTGGTGGATGTGGATCCACTTGAACATTAATTTTCTTCTCGGAATCATGTCCTTTTTTTCTTTGTGCAATTTTGACCTAATTGTTATTAGTAAAATCATAATTATCAATGATTAAAAATATAATTTATAAAAAAAAAAAATGAATTACCTTGCGTTTGAGAAGCTTCACTCGCATGCCATGTCGCCAATCTTGCTCATTGTTTAAAGTAGCAACCTAAACACCATAAATTATAATTATTATAATATAAATATGTAAACCATATAAATAAATATTATAAACGGAGTTGAAATTAAAAATGAAAAGAGCTTCAAACTTACAGCATTTTCAGCAGCTTCAACAGTGTTGTATTCCACCACTGCATGCAGCTGCATACACCAATTAAAAAAAAAAAGGGCATTGATTTTAAATAAAATACATAATTCAAATAAAAAATAAAAGAAAAAAAAATATGTACCTTACCTTTCCACTTAGAAGCTTCTCCTCAATACTGCATTTCCTTTGCTCCTTTGCAGCATTCTCTTCATGAATAGTAATTTTCTTGATACTAAACATAACACAATTGACACATTAAAAGTAAAAAGATTAAAAAAAAAGGTATAAAAAAAAAGTAGCATACACTCCAGCTTGGCTAAATATCTTCTTCATGTTCTCTACTGTGTGATCTTCTGGAAGATTCTCCACCAAAACAGTGCATAGCTATAGGTATAAAGAAAGAATTATTTTAAGTTTTTATAAAAGAGATGAAAAAGGTGGAGAATACTGTATAGTGTATATACCTCTGGATCCAAAGCCTCGGTCAAAGGGAATGGATGAACTCGTTTGACTTTCTTCTCATTTGAACTTAATGTCTGCATCCATCAAGACAAAAATCTAGCTTTGAAAACTAATAACACTATGTTTAGGATGATTATGATTTGAAATTAAGAAAGATTGTGTAGCTTACTAGAAGAGAAGATTCCTTAAGTGCAGCCACAATCAGTGATTTGTGATGTGTGAGTTTCTTCATTTTCTTGAAAGAAGCAATTACTGCAACAGGAACTGCAAGAAAGAGTGTGTCATTTCCATGGAGATGATTGTGAAAGTTAGTGAAGTGAATTATTTACCATAGCCTTCCTCATCCTTTGCAAGATACTTCAACAAAAACTTGTCTGTTCTCAAGTTTTCATCACTGAAATAGTATTCCACCTGTGCATAAAGAGAGTGTATTTACTATTGTGTTTCAAAATCTGTAAACAATCTGTTCTTTGTTGTTTGAGTCAAAGTAATGCACACATATACAGCTTTTAGAGATTAAGTCATGTCCCCATTAGGGTCATGAAGTAGAAAAGAAACAGAATCTAAACACACTGTCAATTCGAG